TTTTTTTTAAATCTGGTGCGTAGATTTAATTTTGGCACGATTCCATAGCGGTACTTTTGAGAAAAGTTTCCCTTTGTGTTTATTCATATTATGTTTTAACATCTATATTCTAAGTTATATCTGAATTTTTGAACGCACCGACATATATATATATATATGTTTATGATATATATATATATATATATATATATATATATATATATCTGTTTATGAATATGACTCTTACAGACCACGTTAGGCACAAGATTGAGAGTGACGAGGCAAAGCTGCAGGTTTTAATACAAATTGTTTAGTTATTGCTCTTGCCTCTGTTGTCAGCATTTTACTGGCTTAATCTATTTTTTTTTTCTATAAAAAATGTATAAACATAAAAATGTCTTAAAATAATTGTCGGACTTTGTCCATTTCATAATGTGTGATGTCATTTGTTTACATTTGGCTGCCCCATGAGCAGATATAAATGTACGTGAGACAATGATGGAAGATTGGAGTTTAAAGGTAGTAAATTCGACGTTGTTAATCGAACGATTCTCTGTGGCTCGATCGGTTAAGAGCACGTCGGGGTAAATGACGGTTCCGTATAGGATACTGGTTCGAATCGTGTCGGAGAACAAATATTTTCTATGAAGATTTTTCGGACATTCAGGCCGGTAAATGTAGTTTAATACTGTTTATTATAAACACAGCATTTACTTAAATATTTGTATCCATAAAAAGAATGAATAAACATTTCTTAAATATATATATATTTATTTTATCGTCACTCTCAATCTTGTGCCTAACGTGGTCTGTAAGAGTCATATTCATAAACACACACACACACACACACACACACACATATATATATATATATATCAACATTGAGTAGTGACAGACAATTTCATGATTGAATGCGGTCTTTACACCATATGTTTAAGTATTAGGTTGGTGCAAAAAATAATGACGTAATAATGTCGTTTTTCGACGTATTTTTTAACGTCAAAAGACGACATTATTACGTCATTATTTTTGCACCAACCTGATAGTAGCTCGATTATTTATATATGTCAGTCAATGGGTCATTATGGGTAGCAAGGACAGGTATTTCCGGTTTATTGAATTATCTTAACTGTTACTGGATAGGTGGAAACTGTTATATTTTAAATTATTCGAAAGGCTTTTGAGTAGAAAAAATTGTGGTCCAGGATGCGGCTATTTGTAGCTATTTTATCGTGTCGTTTGTTAACTTTTAACCCTTTATTTATTATTGATAACTTAAGGTATTTTGTATTTATTCATTAATTATTTGTTGATTTCTTTTTAATCATTTCAGTCCAAGCAAGGCGATAAGGCCACTAAGACGCAAAGCTTTACTGGGAGTGAAAACGAATCAAAAGAAGGAACCGGAAACCCAATTCTAACCAGGAAACACGGGATAAGCCTTTACTCTCCATTATTATTATTATTATTATTATTATTATTATTATTATTATTAAATTTACTTCGGAATGTAGCTCGCCAGAACATTTGACATGTCATGCATGTCTATGTGTCTATGTGCATCTTGGTTTGTGTGTATGCGCGCGTGTGTTTGTGTGCGAGAGTGTGTATGTGTGTTTGTGTGTGTGTGTTAGTAATACATATCTTCACATACATGCAAATAGACAGAATGAAAATCAGAAAGCGTTTATATGGATTAGAAACGAAATTAGATCCGACGTCAGGCATTCGCAAAAAAAAAAAAAAAAAAACATACACATACAAAAACGCACGCACACACGCATGCAAAAATACACCAATACACACATAATCCTACAAACACATCCACAGACGTAGCAACTGTTCTCAAACTATGTATATTGTAGATTGTTCTCGCCTTCCCCCTTGTTATTGCAACGAATTGATGAACTCAGCAAAAGAACGGCGCCCCAAACCCAACAAAATAAATAATGTCGACAAGAACTTATCGATCGATGCGTTAATCGAAGCACTCCCAGGGATAGTACGCGTGGGTCTGTGTTATCTCGTCCACCTCCAGATTCTCATAATCTCCGCAGTTTTATTCTCGTGACATTTCCTACGCCACAATGCGATGGCAGCCGGCACATCTGGCCATTTGGTACTTATAGCTCATCAGCTGCACTCGACGCTGCACATTCACACGAGCAGAATTTTAAATAATACCAGCGATAGTTTTAGTCATGTCATAAATTGCAATTAGATTTTGAGGATACGACAGCCTATTTGATCTTAGCCTACTTTTTTTTATTTTTTATTTTTTTGTTGGGTGCAATTAGTTTCGGGCATTTTTTATTTGGCTGTTGGGAAAATAATATCCGATTTTAGAATCACTTATTATTCATGAATTACGGTTTTTTCCGGCTTACAAGACGCTGCGGCATGGAAGACGCACCCTAATATTATAAAGAAATTTCTAAGAAAAACAAAAACAAATGAATTCTCTTACAACAACACATTTACCATGCGTCCCTCACATACTGGCACCAGGTATTGTTTACATTAATCATTCGTCCGAATTTGTTTGTATGGCAATGTCATACTAGTCAAGAAGAGAAAGGCTCCCGCCGCTGCTCGTAAACAGAGTATGTTTAAGTTTGTGACTCGGCTCCAGGAAGGTTTATAATCTTGGAAATACTTGTAACAGCTAAGTACTAGGGTTACATTATATAAAAGGCTGTCCCTATCAGTCAAGCCAATTAGGTGACTGTCCAAGCTTACTTGAGCCTAGGCGTTGCCTTACATTCGTCTTGGAAGACGCACACGTATTTTTCAGGATATTTTTTAGGAAACAAAGTGCGTCTTGGAAGCCGGAAAATGCAGTAATTTGTAATTTTAACAATATAAGATATGCAGTTGAAACTGTGTTGATGGCTGACACGGAAAGGAAACTACAGGACATCTTGGTACAAGAAAAAGACGGAAAAAAGGCTATTAACCGTAAGGATGCAGAGAGCATGGTCATCAGCAAGAGAAAAAGACCAAGATGCCAATTATAAATTAGATATATAAATATGAAGCAGATGCAGAGTTTCAAATATCTGGGAAATGTTTTAGCAGAAAATGGAAGATGCAACCCCGAGATCTGAACACAAATTGGACAAGCGAAAGAAGCAATGCCAAAAGCTAAGCAAAGCGGTTAGAAAAGAAAAAAAAACATTCTTTAGAAACAAAGAAAAGGGTGTTGGATTATGTTGTAACCAAGAGAAGGTTACTGAATGAAATAATCAAACGAAGGTTGGTAATGAACGATAATACTTAGGACAAGAACAACACATATAAGATTCGCCAGCGGCGCGTAGAAGTAGTAGTCAACTGCTAGAAGTGAGTCAAATGAATTTCACAATGAATCTCCAACTGCAGGATATCTACCAATAGATCAGATGTGGCACAAGGCCGAATTTAATGTGGGGCATTGGAGCCCGTAGGCTCGGCCTAAAATTCCTAGTAGACCCCGTATAAATTAATTGAGGAAATTCATATCGACTTCTTCATAACGCATGTTAGTCCGGGGTATAACGATAAACTACATCCGGCAGCAATGTCTCTGAGAGGGAGATTGGAGGTTTTGAGGAGGGTGAAACCACTTCTTAATTGCTGTTGTTCCCAGGTTCACACTGATCCAGGGTTTTAGCACCTGTTAGGATCCCAGCTATGGGCAAATAGTCACCCCCCCCCAATTAGAACAAAACACGATGAAAGTATAAAATAGATATTTTTCTAATAAAAATACCAGCAATACATTTTACATTAAGAAATTACCAAGAATACCAATTCATAGTAGAATTACCAATAATTAAAAAGCAAAATGACCAACTGTATAATTTATATGTAGTTGAATGCATATAATTGTGTTCAAAATAGTTTAGTTGTAGTTAAAATTGTTCAAATATTTCGACATTAAATAATCCCTAGAGGTTGATATGCCGCTAAACACAATCAACCAATCACACATGTATATGTACAAAAGCTGAGTATCATCTACCATATATTCAACTGTGAATGCAGAATAACATATATCCTATATTTATTACACCAAATCTCTCAAGAAAATTAAATTTCTGCATCAAATGATCCATTTGGAGTTTATATGCCGTTAAGAAAACAAATGAATTAATAAATATAAGCCTTTTTTGTTGCTGTATTGTTTTTTAATATGTTTTTATGTTTATATTCGTCTCGTGCTTTCATAGTTTTTTTGTTTTTTTTGACGAATCATTTCCTCCAGGCAAAGAGGATAGTTCAAAATGAATTACTACCGGATATTAATTATAGATTATTTCCTTTGAGTATTTCATCCATACTGCTGTATAACGATTTGTTTTCTTTGTATTCTCAGATGCAACAGAGCAGATTTTCTTTGCGAAACAGTTGCAAGTTGGTGTCACCAATGTTTATGCCCGTGACACTAAGATGAGTTTGGATATTAATGACTTCAAAAAGATTTTCACATCGAATCTTCCATTAATTTTAACGGAAAAAATGATTCTAACTTCGGCAATAGATTTTAGAAGGAGTTTGAAATAAAAATAAACATAGATAGATAGATAGATAGATAGATAGATAGATAGATAGATAGATAGATAGATAGATAGATAGATATACCGACTGTGATAGATAGATAGATAGATAGATATATAGATAGATAGATAGATAGATAACGAACACACTGATATTGACTAACAGATAATGAACAGACTCAGATAGATAGATAGATAGATAGATAATGAAAAGACTGAGATAGATAGATAGATAGATAATGAAAAGACTGAGATAGATAGATAGATAGATAGATAGATAGATAGATAGATAGATAGATAGATAGATAGGTAATGAAAATACTGATAGATAGATAGATAGATAGATAGATAGATAGATAGATAGATAGATAGATAGATAGATGGATGGATGTATTTTATGCTATGCCCTGAGGGAGTGTAAAAGCGGAAATTAATGTATCTTTGTTTTCAAATTTATGAAAAATATATGAGGTAAATTATATA